CCTACTCATCACACTCATGTTTCAGAAATATCCCACTGTTCAAAACAGCACCAAAAAAAGTATCCAGGAAGGATGAAGATGCACAGGAGAATACTGCCAGCTTTGCTATTCTCATATTTCCCAATTTAAACTGAGTGATAATTCTGCCACAGCAGCCAAGATATTCATTCTCAGAATAAAATCCCACTTGTGAGAAGGGTTGCTACAATTAACAATTCTTTAAAAGCGCTAAGTAGATGTAAGTAAGTGGCCCAAGTCTCTATTCTCAGCAATGCCTGGTGGGAAGCTGCTGCCTTGGCCGACAGCGGGGGTTTGAGCCAGGAATCTCCAGAGCTAAAAAAACATGCAGGAACTGCCTGATGAGAAGGGCCTTTTTATAAAGGGTTATGCATTATTTTTATTCAAAGGAAGCTCTTCCCACGTCTGACAGCCATGGGGGGTTGAAGTTTGAATGAGCTCGTGTGATAGTTACCCTCCTGATTAATACCCTGGGGCTGAACTTCTGGTCCCACCAAACTGAAAACATAAATTGCCACAGCTTGAACTAAGAAGCAATATTTTTAGCAGGGGACTGTAACAAATCATAACCTCTGTGTATTGGCCCAGAAGGATCAATGTCCAAAACACATGCTCATCAGCTCACTATGCCAGTAGCCTGTACCACAAGAGTGAACAAGTGAGGATTGCCTTAGAGTTCTCTCATGCTGACTTTGTTGTAAATTAGGCTGTATCTGAGCATTATTTAAAAGAAACAATTTATGTAGCAAACCTGAAAGTGCAGAGAGCTACAAATGAAGCCTGAATCTGCCAATGCAAACATGAGAAACAGAATTGATCCGTAACAATGGTGATAAATTTTCAAGGGAAAACATTTTTACAGGCCACCTATTCTTTCCTGACAGTTTTTCCACAGAAGGCTTTTAGGCACTGATACCACGGGCAGAATAAATATTTTATGAAAAATCGAGATTCAGTTCTTCCTTTATCCTAGAGCTTGTCCTGACACATGAACCAGCGCATCAAGGTTTTCAAGAGAGAGTTTTCAGTCTGAAACTGGTACGTGTACGAAAATGGGTTTACGTAAAAAAAGGAGCATCCTATGTTAGACTCCAGTAACTGTGGTTTACTGGGAAAAGGCTGGAAAAGTTCAGCAAGGAATACTATTTACAGTGCACGATCTGAAATAAAATATGATGCAAAAGCAGTCAAAAGAAGAGTGGCTATGTGTGAAATTTTCTTTGTAGTCAGCTGCTGATCTACAGATGAGTCACTCGTAAAGGCTTTCTCAGGTTTCATCTCATCACCAGCTCTGAATCTTCTGAAACCATTTCCAGAGATTCAGTTTAGTCAGACATGCCTCAGTCATCGTCCCACCTTCAGCAGTGCTACACGGGAGAATACAGGGCAGAATTTTCCTCTCCCCACTGCTCTGTTTTGTCACCTCTGCAATGGGAGGACACTGGCTGTGCTGTTTGCATGTTACGAGGGCTCTTCCTTGCCTAATGCCTGGAGCTATTTGGCTCGTTGGCTTTAACACATGGGCCGAGCTGGACAGAAAGCCGTAACAGAAGCAGTGAAGCCAACAGGCATTTCGGCGTTGGCAGCCGCTGGAGCCCTCCTCAACACAGCAAGCCTCAGTGGCAGTGTACCAGGACCAACTCAGAGAAGTGCCTAAAAGCTTGGCGTTGGAGAGGCACATCCATAGCAGCAACAGCCACGTGGAGATGGCTGTGCCAGTTTTGGCTTTTCAAACCCGCAACCTCCGACACAGGACAACGCAAATGCATGCATTAGGAAGCAGAGTTACTGAGCAGGAACAGTGGCTGCTGTGCAAAGCAGTTATCAAATAAAACACAAACATAGCCACATCTGTGGATTTTGTGGCCTAGAACTTTTTTTTTATTAAAACTCTTCTGCTCTACAATCAAACAAGACTAGGAAAGCATGAAAAGCCCTTTTGCTACTATTAGAGGAGTGTTTATAACCAAGCCTGCTAGTTTGCATGCCAGACTTCAGTTCTCTGACGTGTAAAAAATGAACTACAATACCAGTGTTCATACCTGGTTCTACTGGTTTCCATGGGCTAAAACACTCCTGAGTGAAAATAACGCAGCATTTTCCCTCATCTTCCTTTTGTTCCCTTTGCCTGAGAGATAGACACTGCCTCAGCAGCACTCCCAGTCTCTGGTATCGTAAGAGCCACGTTCGATCTCAGGGTCTAAACGCCAGGCAATATGTTGTGCTGCCTCTGCTCTGCTAGTGCTGTCTCCCAAACACAAACAAGCAATTTCCACAGTGCTGCAGCCCCTCCTGTCTGAGCACTGACTCAGGATGGACCTGATACAGCACAGAGTTGTTCTGTCACTACACCCACAAGTTACAGCATCTGATGTGGACAATAAATGGACTAACGCTTATTTATTTATTTGGTTTGGTTTGGGTTTTGGTTGTTTTTTTCTAGTGCCCTGAGCTAGCACTCTAAATCAATGACAGGGAGCTCATGCACATGGTTCGTATACAAGCAAATTCAATTACTAAAACAAAACAGCAACACAAATCAACTCAAAATGGTAGTCTTAGAGACAAACTAAAAAAATGCCTTCTTCCAGTTTTATATCTGAACCCTTTTCAATCTTTTTTCCAGCACAGCGTACATTTTGACAGTCATCAAATAGTGGCGATAGCTGCAAAGGGGGATGCCTGTTTTTAGATACTTGCCCATTCTTTAAAAATGTTGCTCATCCCCAAATCATACGAGATTTGAAATATTTGCCAGGATTAGAAACCTTCCCTTTCTGAATGGAAGTACACCCCATGGAAGTCTGAAGCCTCACCCAAATGAAAAAATAATTTCATTGAACTCGCGCAAGGTAGTCTTCATCTGTGGCTCTGAGCCTCCCTTACCGTGCAGTATACTCTCCAGTTTGAGAGCTTCAGGGCTATGGTGTCTGGAAGCCCTGGTAAACTTTGTCCAAAGTAGATCTGCTAGATGGATTTTCCCTGAGCTGCTCATCCTGAAAGCAATGGAACCTCCTACCTGCCCTGAGCAATTCCCTCTGCTTTGCATATGCCAGTGTTTTTCAAATCAGAAATTCAGATTTGACATCCTACATCCACTGAATCTGCATTTTCTGTCTATGCCTTGTTTCAAAGGAAGATTTCTCAGATCAGCTCTACCCAATTTCCCTGTCTTTTCCTGTTGTATGCTGGCACTACTTCTCTGAAGCCACCGAATCCAGTGACTGCAACAAAGCTCAGCTGACTTCACCAGCTGACTCCTGGCGACAGAATGTTTTCCACAGAGAATAGGACCATACCTTATTATTTATTCTAGATCATTTGAAGAGCAAATATTCACAGTCAGTATGAGTATATGTGTTTCTACGAAGCATACAGAGTTCCCTTTCACAGCTGGGACCACAAGGAACAAAGAAACACACTCTTCTTTCAGCTCTGGTGTGCTGAATTTATATCCTAATGTCATTCATGAATGGTTGATATTAAACCAACAGAAAAGTCAGAAAAGTCCATGATACTTGCTTAGGATGGTCCAGAAAGAAAAGGTTGTAAGTCAAAAGTGAGAAAAAAAAGGATTGATATATGGTGTGATCAGATCTGCGATATAAAAATTACATGATCTGGGTAAGAAAACCCCTCACTTTCATTTGTTAAGGTTCATATTCATCTTTTGACAATATAGACCAATTGATCTCAACATAGAAGAACAGTCAGGCATGGGGTGCTATTGGGCCCATTAACAACACTTGTACTGAATTATGTAAATCATTTAAATGGATGAGATTCACCAGATGGTTGTCATTGGGAGAACTGAACCTTGGTGCATACATCTGCATTACCTGCTTGCAGCTAAAATCTTCTCCATTGCTTTCAATTCTGATACTCTTTTTTTTCCCATCTGCTTTTTTATTATTATAACTATTCATTTTTTCAGGAAAGGGAATTCATTCTTCCTTGCTAGCTTAGTCCTAAGCAGTGCTACCAACTATGATGAGAATTTAGTTTCATAATACAGTGGACAAAAATGAATTTATTGGTTCAAAAATTATTTCACAGATATGAGTGTCGATAATTAGGTGTAGTTCTCCATTACATTTACTATAGCAGGCAGAATCATTAGGACCAAAAGATACAGCTTGAAATTACTTTTATGATACTGGTATTTAATAAACAGGTAGTAGTTTTGTCACTGTGAACTCTTCTAATTTATAGCTGCTAGCAAAACCGGTCTTACTCAACAGAACTAAACGAAAAAGCCTCACTGGGAGCATTTTAGCCAAAAAAGATGTTCTATTCAAACTGACGTCTTGCTAACATCATATAGCGTTGAATACCTTGAATTTTTCTTCCAAAGGGGAAAAAAAAGGTTATTCATTGGATGAAGTAATACTCCAGGCAAGGAAACAGGCTGGAGCGTAATCAGAACAGACCATGCCAATACTGTGCTTCAGAAATCAATCTGAAAGTTTCTCTAGGAATCATAATTTTCTGCTGGTCTTAAACAGCAGCAGATGACAATGCCACCCACAGCGGTTCAGCTATGCTGGCCAATTAATTAGCATGGCAGAACTAATCCCTTATCTGTTCTCTCCCATTCTAAATGTGTCTGCTCTAAGTGAAGTGAGAAAAACTATGCTCCAATCCTGGATTGCCTTATGTACGTACTTAAACAAAATCACCATTAAATTCTATTTGATTTAAAAAAATAAATGCCTTTGTAGATCTGGGCCTTTATTTTCAAGCTAGCTGCACTCCCATTGTTATCTTCTTACAGTTACTTGTTATACAGATCATGCTCACTTCAGTGTCTGTAGGCCTAAATATATTCTTCTATGTAGGTTCTTGAAGATAAAAATGCCAAAGTTTGCCCACAAAAAGAAGTGGTTGGTGATGGTTTTATGCATGACTTTTTTGTTTATTTCATACAGTTAGTTTTTGTAATAAAAGAAAAGAGACACTATATATAGATTAAAGAATCCTACCCGGTTGCCTTCAAACTTTGAGCGATCGTTGTTTGCCTTTGCTGTTTTTTCTGCAAGTTTCTTCTGCCTTTGAGGGCCTTTTCCGAAGAAAATGTAGTTGACAAAGGCGTATTCAAGTAAGGCCAAGAAGACAAATACAAAACAGCCCATAAGATACATGTCAATGGCTTTAACATACGGAATTTTAGGCAAAGTCTCTCGCAGATGAGTGTTGATTGTTGTCATAGTCAGCACAGTTGTAATTCCTACACAAGGAAAAAAAAACAGCACATATCTTACAACTCTAAGCAGATCATGCTTGAATTTTATTTTCCTTTTTGGCGAATTTGCCTTGTCAGTATGAAGAAGCTTAAAAATCTGTGAAAGATATCTCACAGGTAACATCACTGCAAATGAAAGTAAAATTAAAGCTTGATGCATCATTATTCTATTACAATATTTGCTTGATATGATCAGGGGCAACAGCTAATAACGGGGCCTGGCACCACTGCTGTGAGTTAACATAGCTTCAGGGAAGCCAGTGTAGCTGTACTGAGGATCTCTTCCATGAAGACCAAACTGATCTGCAACAGGAAGGCAAATAGTCTGCCAAGCATTAAAAGTTGTGCTCTTACACAACACAATGGAGAGAAGTTTTTAAAAAGTGGCAAAACTCATTAGAGGTCTGGATAGATAAAACCACGTGCACATATTAAGGCAGAGTGTTCGTATAGATGGTGAAAGATTCCTCTCATGCAGTTTTAAATTTCTAAGAGTTAAGCAGCTGGTTGAAGGTAGTCCTGTAGGGCCCCTCGGTAGTAGATGGAGAGAGACAGGCACCTTTCTAGAACAGTTCACCCCATCTACTTTAGACACCTGTTTCAGGAAAGGAAAATATAGAAGAGGGATTTCAGATGACTAGTTCAGAGCAGTAGCCTACTTCTTACATAGAAATAAGTGAGATGAGCAGTGAGAGGCAGACAGGTATGCATACTTGTGGAAAGAAAAAGCCAAGGAGGGAGAGCAGCATTTTTATAGTGATCGACTGGACACTAATAAAGTACCTAGAAAATCTATAAAGTATATCAAACCCTCATTTATTTACCTAAGGATGGTCATAGCACCTGAAAATATATTCCAGAGCACTGTTTTGAAAAGCTGGTAAGAAAAGTAAATTTATTGTCAGTCTGCTTGAATCCACAATAAACTGCAGGGTCTGTATCCCTGCCGGAAATTTTATGGGAATCGCAAATCAAAGGTGGCTGAAAACACTGATTTATGGAATAAGTCTACATTGGTAAAAGAGGCAAGCCATTCTAATAGGTCCCCTCCATTACTATTTTCTCTGATTCCATAATTATACCATCAGTTTGTAAGTAGTCACTAAAATGCAGGCAGAACAAAAATAAAGAACAAGAGAAAATTGCTGCCATATTATAAAGCACAGCTTCTTTTACCTGAAGAGACAGAAATAAAGACAATATAACTCAAAATCAAGCTGTTGGTGTAAACAGTGTCACTCCAGGGAACTGTAGTAGTAGCCTATGAGGTTCTGTAACAGATATTTTGTATATTTAGTAGGTCAGCATCATGCGGTTTTCAGTGCTTTTCCTCTAAACTGTGAAAAAAGCGTGTGTTGATGTCAGATGTTTCACGGCTTGAAATACAGCAGAGATGCACGCAGCACACGCTTATTTAAAAATTGTATTGGGTATAACTCATCCAGCTCTGCAGTAAAATGAGCAGTATAGCTGACACATTACTTTTACCTAAAGAAACTTTGACAAAGTCTCTAGAAAACCTCTATGCCAGCACAAGGAACAGGGGTGAGAAGGGTGGAGGACTGCAGCAAACACTATCATCTATTTGCAGCCCAGAGGGTTTCTCTAGCCTGAATTAGCTTCTTTCCTTGTAAGATTAGCTGCTGCTGCTCCCCATAAGGGATTCAAAGAATTACCTAAGATCCAATTGATTCTTGTATCAGAAATCCCACAGATTCCTTTTAACGCAGCCTTGGCATCTCACTGTCATCCCACAGATGCTTACCAAAGCCTAGGTCAACAAGGGACTTAGAAGCCTGCCCAGTGGGAGTTATAATGTCCACATTTTTGCTGCCTGTTCCCAGACTGTAATCTAGATTCCAGAGACAAGTCCTTAAACACCACACAGGGAGGGTTTGGTGGCTTTCTCAGTGATCCAGAAGATTAAGCATGCTGAATAGAGAGGTGGCTATCACTAACCAAAAGGAAATACATCCCCTCGGAGATCCTGACACCCTGCAGGCAAATGACCTTCTGAAGATCAATAATTTATTTTAAAGCACAGCTGGAGGAGAAGCAGCTGACACTCACCTATCATATAAAAATAGGGTAATCTTGTGATTACAGTGCTTCCCAAGAGTGAGAACTTTTGAGATTACCTTTCTCCTCACTCAAAGGACTGAATTTAGGAACTTCTAGGGTTAACTAACAAAAATTCAGTTTTAAACAGAATTGATGGTTTTGAGTATTTCTCTTGAGATCAGCCCTGTATCAGCCTCTATCTGCAGTGTCTATAGCACATAGTTTCTGGAATGAGCTGGCCTTTGCTCCATGCCTGGGTTTCTCTGTTGAGGGAACTTCGTGGTTCAGTGCAGGCTGGAGCACAAATGGTGTGTACAGTGAGGGACCAGGGACAAGAGCAAAACATGGAAGTGAATGAACCAGAATCAGGCACTTTCAGAGAACACAGGCTTCTTCCAGGCGTAGAGTAAAAGCTTGTCTCCATGTCTCTAAGGACTGCACAGGCAATTCTTCTTCTAACAAATACCTAAGCTAGCAGGTTTATCCTCTGAACTGAGATTTTCAGAGCCAGTTACGTATGTTCAAAGGTGCTATATTCCCTTCAAACTTTGATACCATTTCATATCAGCTTCAGACTCATAAGAGTGGCTTACAAAGGAACATAGGATTAGACCCATGGTACTGAACTTTATTATACAAGCATCACAGACATAATCACCAAGGCACTAACTGTTTTCTCAGAAGAACCTATTAGATGGATTTTTGTCCTCTCAAAAGGACTTTCTATCAATCAGAAATAGAACATCTGGGCTCCTGAGCTTACCTTGAATGTACTCTCCGACTTTTGTTCTAATATTTGTGCTATCACAGTACGGTACTTGATGAACTTGTGCTACACAGAAATAGGCCACATGAGACAGTCCTGTTCCTTAAACAAGGAAAAACTGTGTGAACTCATTATAGAAGGGCGTGGAATGTCACTGGATTTGGTAACTTTTGTCTAACCATCTGTTCTCTGCAGTCCTGGCTGGCATGTAAAATCTAGATGCTGGCTGATATGTTTGAAGTGCTCCCCTCACTCGGTCATAATGTCTCCAGGGTGGATCTTTGGTATCCAGTCGTTCATTTATGAATGCAACAGAGCTGTTTGGACTCTATGTCCCACCTCCCATTAAGCTACTACTTAGCTGCAACCTGCTGAACATGCACTAGCTGCTGAGTGGTAATGCCAGATTGTGTCATGCCCATGGGCACCAGCTAATCCACAGTATCTGTAGAATTATTGTACAGTAACTGCAGTTAATCTAAAATATCTTCAGTTATGCAAGTTCAGATGCTAGGACGTAATACTACATTGCACAAAGGTATAGGTGTAGCTGCCCAGCTTACTTTGGTATGTGGGATCTTGGGAGGTACATGGTACAGACATGGGGAATCTCATGGGCATGGGTTGGAGTCACAGTTTGCTGTGGTACATACCAGAAAAATAAGGGAGCTAGGGAATATGTTCCTGTTTTAAGAAGAGAAGAGAGCAGTGGCAGGAAGTTATACAGCATAGATTTAGCATCAAGTTTTGGGAATGAAGGTATTTGCTGTTGGGAAGCACAAGGTTGAAGACAGGATTTGGGATGAGATGAGAGGCAGCAGTAGTCATAAGGATTATTTATGTATCCATTTAATATTCCTTGTCTCTAGCTATCCTTGAGTATGCTTCTGTAATAGATGCAATATTTCTGGTGAGGTATTTTGAAGCCACCTTCCCTTACCTAAAGGATACTTTGATCTGAAAAGGTCTTGGACTGGGATCACGAACCTGTGCCCAATCCATGTTTTTCTGCCATGAGGTAAATGGCACTTTAAGCTGTCATAAAAATGCACTGAGCATACCATGCATTCTGAGGGTGAGCTGGGATGTCATGGTCTGTAGCTGACGTGCCCCTGCACTCTGAATGAGCACATGGTTCTTGAGGTCTGTTCCTGCCACTGCCAGTTAAAGCACCCAGGACCTCAGGAGGAGGCTTGGAGCCACACTTGTCTTTCCACACTGAGCTGGACTAAAAGCCCATGCTCAAGCCCTTGGAGCATGATTCTGGAGCTGGTCCCCTCACTGAAGCTACTGACAACAACATTAACTTTGATGAGAACAAGGCTGGGACTTGTATGAGCAGCTCATGTTAGAGATTTAGTGGTAGCTACATTCTGCATGCACAGGAAAACTCACCACTTTTGAGGCAATACTGAGTGATTTTGACTTAAATGATTTTGGAATATCAAAACACTGACATCACATTGCAGTCTTTAAAAACCTCCACAGGCTACATTCAGTCTGACATTTTAATGTCCCACTCATTCTTAGCACATACCAAGGGCAACTCTTGCTGCTGAAGCATCATAATTGATCCAGAATGACACCCATGATAAAATGGTAATCAGTATGGAGGGCATGTAGGTTTGAAGAATAAAGTATCCAATATTTCTCTTCAACCTGAAGCTCAGTGAGAGTCTTGGATAGGCACCTGAGGAAAGGGAGGGGAAAACAGCGTTATTTATACTGGAGAAAAGACACTTGCAGACAGTTGCCTTCAGTTTCCGTAGAAACTAAAAAGCATGCACATTTTATGGGGTAGTATGACATCTGCAGAACAGTAGGGAAAACGCTTTCACTGTATTACTGGTTGGTATTAAAAGAAACCTTGCAGTGAATATAGTGATATCCAAGCAATTTGTATTTGGGAAGAAAAGAGAGAGTAAATTATTCTACATTATTGAACAGATGGGAGAGCACCGGTTAGTTTTTAAAAACAGATGCTTAGGTCTCCAAGTAAAATGCTTATCCAAATACATAGTTTTATGTATAGTATTTATATTGAGAGGATTAGTAATGTGCATAGTTTTGTATTTACATGGAAGAGTTGTTCATGAGATGGCACTTCTTATTTACATCTGAACTGAGAAACCTGTGGTGTCAAAAACAAATTGTAATGAATCCATGTGAGTAAAAGCCTTCAGACCAGATCCAAAGGCCTCTAACATCAATTAGAGCCAGACAGAATTTTTCTTCCAAAAATATTTTAAGCAAAAAAAAGATTATTTTATATGTGTGTGTATATATATACACACAGTATATATATAGGATTCATGAATTGTTACAATTGGAGCAAATAACAAAAAAACTGAATAACCTCAATGTCAATGTTTCAAACAAAACATTTTATTATTTAACTTCGAAATGGTATATTTCAAAATTGGTGTTAATCTTACTGAATGTATTTTATATATTTAGAAATCTCAAACAGCTAAAAAAATTGTGATGTCTTTCAGCAAATGCAAACAGGATTACATCTGAGCAGAGCTGTACAAGAAAAAGGTAGTTATTGAGATAACATTAGCTCCATGATTTCACTATTTGCATTACTAGTCTTACATATGATACTTCTGATAGGTCATCTAAAAGCTCTACGTACAGTCTAGTTACTCTAGTTACCTAAAAAACATTTCTGAACATACCGAGGGCCCAACTAGATATTAGATCACATCCCACCCATTCTAATGCAAATATGTACAAGATATGAAAGATTACACCTAGAAACAAATAAAAAATTACAAATTTCCCTTTAAATTATGTTCATATGTTTGCATATGAGCATAAGAAATTACACGTGCCCATATATCACAAGAATGATGGATTTCCTGAGAGAGAAAGCAGAAGAAGGAATAGAAAACTGCAGATTTCTCTTTGTCACATTCCCGATAGTTAGGTATGCTTTGAGTCATATGACAGAAAAACTGCTACACAGTTTCCAGGCAGCAGAAGCATCCAGGGAGTATCAAACTTTATGCGCCTATTCTTAACTGTTTTATCAATCAATCTCAGAAGAACTATCACTGGAAAAAGAAGTATCTGGTAGATGTATCTGTTTGCTGTGATTACTTCAATCAGTAGTAATTTTTTTCCAGGATTCTTGTTTCACCAATAGAAGAATATTGATAGAGTCAGAAGAATTTATTTCATCATGAAAATCAGACCAAGGTTTTCTGCTGTCTAAAGCAGTCAACATAATTTTCAGCAAAGAATCATTTAGACTTTAGCTTGCTTAACATCTTAGTTTTCCAATGAACAATGTTTCATTTCAAAAGACAAATTCTCTCTTTGAAACCATGCCTGCTTTTTTGCTAACAAAGCTTAACTTTTTCATTGAGCTTCTTATGAAATGGTTTCCATGGCCCTGTGTCTGCAGACTATGTAAATAAAACAGGAGCATACCCTGCCATCATGAAATACATTAAAAATGTAGCAGACCTGGTCACCTTTCTGCAATAAGAGTAGTGCATCAGACAAAAATCTTTATAAAGCTCTGTTAAGGAAAATTATTTCATATAATACACCACCCACGCAAAGGATTCTCTATAAATCTCTTCCTTTCCATAAGTCCTGTCCAGGTCTGGGTGTCTGTGGAATACCATTGATAGAGGTGATGACTGGAAAATCTCCCATGAAATACTGATTATTTGATAAATAGGCTGAAGGATTCATTCAAGAAGGTTCAGTAGAACTGAATCACTGAATCAAAGCCTCTTCTTGGGCTGCTCCAGTGCCAAGGACCCTGAACGCGCTGGGGAACCTCAGAGAAAGAAGAAAGGGAGCTCTTTGCTATTGATAATAGCAAAGGGAAAATGCAGGGAAAATGGTGTGGACGGAGGAGGCGTGTGTCAACGGTGGAGAGAGGTAATGTGTCACGTATGTCAGTAATGTTCAGTAATGAAATCCTGAACTGAGAAACAGTATCTAACAGGGCAAACTTTAGACATTTATCTTGAATGCTTCACCCGTGACCATCATCCATTATCTCATCACCGTCTCCATCTAAGGAGATAAGGGAATTACTGAAACTAGTGGAACCTGGCCTTAGAGGTGGACTTTCCAGACAGATTGTCCCACGGCCAGAGACGTCAACATAAAGTTGTTTCAAGCACCAGGTTCTTTGTCCTGAAGCTAGAAGATAGAACCCTAAGAACCATACCTAGGGCCGGGGCTGTCAGTGCTGTCTGTCTTCCTGCTCTGGAGTTGGAGCTGGACTGGAACAGAGAGATTCAGTTGTGAATCTGCAGGTGCACAGTTCCTTTGAGATGCCCTATGACATGTCAGACACCAACATGCAGCTGGTGGATGTGACATAGCCCCTGTATCTTTTTGATCAGCAGCTGCAGACTAGGGTGGCTGCCCTATGCTATCCCAAACAGCAGCTGATAAAGCGACTCACCGGAACTGCATACCCATGAGCTAGGTGTCTAAGCTCCAATTACTTTTACAGATCAGTTCATCTAGTCTATCTAGTAAATGAAATCTAGAGAATTATCCGTCTCCTCCTCAAATAGACTCCTACTGCTGGACTGAATTTGTCTCCAGACTCCACAGACTGTATTGAGTAGATTCTCATCAACTAAGACACCTAGTTCATATGTAGACACTGAAATTATATTCACCTTAAATGAGAGCAAGATGAATCCCAGCCCTGCAAGTCTGAGGGTATGTTTTGAAGGTCTGTGGCTCCTGGGCAATCTAACCAAAAGTCTTGCTGGCTACTTACTGGAGTTGACACATTGCTCAGTTTCAGAGAGGTAAATAAAATGTCATCCTGGTTTCTGGTGTTTTTCCAAACTCAAATTTTATTGGGAGGTCTGGATCTCAGGAAATTTCAGAATAATTTGGTCTTTATATAGCTCACACTGAAATTGAAACATGAACTGGTAGCCTTGTTTTTTCATACCATGCAGCCAGACTTCTCCCTTAGGTAGCTCTCCCTGAGACTACAAAAGTTTGTATTAGTTTCACCTGTATTGTTTTTATGCCTTCACAGATGATCTATTGGCCCTGCCTCCAGCCTGCCATCTCTGCTATAATATCTCACCTCCAGCAAACAGACCACAGGAATCTATGGAAAAAAAAGAATTAAAAGAAGGAACATTCCTTATTTCCCTTACTTATTTCCCCCTCTTTGTCTGGATGGCTAAAGCTCAGTGAAAAGGATAGGTCCTAACCTGCATGGAACAAAGATTGTAAGCCCAGATCTTTATTTATCTAAGAAGTAACATCTTGTGTAATTTATTTAATAAAAATGGATTTCTTGGTGAGCTCGACAATTACACTGTTACTTGCCTGATTATGCTAGGATAATGATTTGTCAATTAACGCTCAGTACATTTAGAGATTAATTACCAGGAAATTCTAGTTGTTAACATTCCATCAAAATTTGTTTTTTGCCTGAAGAACAACGTTGCTGTTCAGGGACCAGATTTGTTACCCTTCCTCCCATCTCATATAACATGTTGATGTCTATGGGCTAATTTAAACAGTACAGAAATAACGGAATTTGGCCTGAAGTATTTAAATCTAACAACAGTATTGAGAATGCAGGCATGAAAACAAATACTTAATCAATAAGTGAGCTCAAAATATTCCTCTTTCATATATTTGGGCACTTGGTAAAAAGTAATTACTTGTTTCTGTTTCAATTTCATTAAAAGCTAGCAAGCTGAAATATCTAGCTCCAAGGCTAAATTAGTCTCTTGCTGTTTTATCCAATATGAACCAAGATAACAAGAGCTGGTCAGTTACAGAATTCTTATTTTAATCTGTTCTTCTGGGAAGGTTCTTCAGCTAATTGGAAATGTACTTTACAGACTCATCTTTCAGAATACAGCTAATAATTAATTTTCAAATCTTTTAAGACTACCCTCCTCTTACCAACAGGTTGCTAATCTGGCTCTGACTGCTATGCATCTTGAAGCTTTTAGGTGGTGTTTTACATAACACCATTCCCGTTCAGTTTCTTAGCATTTCTGGATAACAAACATTTAGGAGGCAGCTTCAGCTCACAGGCCTAGGCACTAGACTTCAGGTGTTTGCATGCAGATATTTACACATGGATGGCGCATAAGCTCTCAGTGTAAACCACGGAGATCTAGACTTACAGCCAGCTGATTCTAGGAGTGTGATTTAATTGCCTATACAGAGGTGTCTAATGTCATTTGAGATGCCTTAAGCTACTGAAGAGTAGAACTTAATACTAGTTAAGTAATTAATATTGAAGCACTAGATTGGCATATAGGACACAAGACTGTAAGACTCCGCAACAGCAGCCTAACTGCTAAGCAGGATGCTCTACAGCATCTCAAGAGGCACCAGATACCTATGTTTAGGCAACTGAAGAGTGTCCTACAAGCTATTCACTTGACAGAACAGAGGTGTTCGCTCTTTAGGCTCCATTGACAGCACTGATTTGATATCATTTGACTATGGGCTTAATTCAGTTACTGACACGTAGGCATCCAGTGCCATTTTAGATGTCTTATGGTAGCCTGTATGGCCTTCAGCTGGTGTTAGAAGGATAGTCAAACCAGATTTTTCTTCTTCACAGCAATTTAAACATTCCTTTCTCTTCTTTCCATCATGGATAAAGAGAACAGGCTATTCCCCATGCCTTTGCAGATGCCTTCTAGACCCTTGAAGACTTTTTTTCCCAGCAAGTGTCCTCTTTTTTCAAACTACATGATCATACCTGGCTCTCCAGCAATCTCATGTATTCCATTTTCTAGACTTCCTACTTGCTAATTTTCCCTAGACCCTCTTCTATTGCTCCACAACTGTCTTGAAGAGTGCTATTCATGACCACAAATACACAGCTCAGGCCTTAGCAATGCAAGTCAGCCTCCTTATAGGATGTGGGTTTGTTGTTTTTTTTTTTCCCCCAAAAAGATGTTATTGGCTCATGTTCACTCTGAGATCAATAGTAACCCCTAGATTTCTACACACAGAACTCTGGCCTAACCTGGTATTCCCTGTCCTGAATTCAGATAGGAATAGTTAGTTGTATAAATGTTGTATTTTGCATTTGTCCATACTGACGTTTATACTTTTTTTCAGACCCATTTTGCTAATTTGGCAAGATCATTTTTAACTCCAATGCTATGCTTGAACATGCATGCAGTTCCTCCAGTATTCTTGCAGCCCCGCACAGCTTTATGCCATTATCTATGGGGTTTTTCTCATGCTTACCGTTGCTTCTCGGTAGTAACTATGGGAACAGATTTTTCCATTTGCATAAGTTACACAAGATTATACAGCACTGTTCCTCATGGAGGATAGGAGAAATAACTACTCCAAAAGCTGTTTATGGCATGACTCTGAAGTCTTCTTTTAGTTTTATACAATCAAAGCACACTAGTACTGAAATCTCTGAAATGTTCACTGAGATACTGCGCTCAAAGAACTAATATCTCCCCTTGAGACTTCAATAACCTCAAAGCCAAAAAAAGCATGCCTGACTTATTTTCCACAAAAATGTAGAAACTGGCCCTAATTACTAGGACCATAAAAAAGTAGGGACTTGAGAAGAAATTTGAAAAGAGTGTGCTGACTTTATCTGTCAGATACAGTAGCATGCTTTGGATTTACAATTAAATATGTGGTTTTGAGATACAAATGTGATGTTTCCCCTGCATGGAAATACTTGTCACAAAATTTCATAATTAATCAAGCATTTTCATAATGTCCTGTACCAAAATAATAGTAAAGGCAGTACTGTGTCTTCATCAGTGACACAAATTACATGCTTCAGAAAACGGTACAAGAAACATGGAGTAAGCTGTTCTCTGTGACTGTCTCATCCTACTCCCTAATGTCAAGCTGTCTTAAACCCTGAAGTATAAGACTTCTTTACTCCTTCCACAAGTGTTTTTGGAAAGAACTGTTATGATTCTGAATATTTTGTCAGTCAAATAAATGTCTACTCCTAGTTTTCATTCTCTCTCATATTTGCCTCACAGCTCTTTGGATTTCTCTTTTCCTGAATTTAACAAATCTCTCTCATCTCTAAATTACTAAATCATGTCTTTACTGAAATATTTCATATGGAACTAAAAGATGGCTTTGGACTGTCATAAAAATTTCCCAAATAAGTTCTCTGTATTCTCATTGTTGTCCAAAGAGCTATTCCACAAAAGTATATCCAGTCTTGTGGAGGGGCAGGTAAGCCCTGGCTGCCAAAGGTGACACTGGCTGCAGAACGGAGGGATATATGACAAGAGTATTGATTTCTCTTTTAAAAAACCCCACCCTTTCATTCACAATGATAAACAAGAACAGCAGCAGTTGGCAAACCCCCTCATATTACTTTCAATCCCAGCAATATTTACATTTTGTTCTGAAATACAACTTGTGTTTCTGTGTACTTTGAAACAGATGCTGTGTCCAAAGAGTGGGTGAAGTGATGCTTACAAACATAATAGAACTGTGCTTCATTTGTTCTAGTGCGCTGGGACAGATGGAACAGCACACTCCTGTGGTCTGAAGAGTACTGAAAATCTGGAAGTCCCAAATAGTGGCCCCACACTTGCTGATGGCTCTCGGTGTTGCTTTGGTCTTGTCACACATAACAACATTTTCCTATGTTGGTGTCTAACACTAAACATGTAAATCAACATTGCACGTTGTCACCTGAAGACACCCAATGCTGTGAGTTACCAGTAACTTTTATTACGTCTTCAAGGAAACAAGGAGGAAACCCAGGGATTTAATTTTAGCATCTTAACAATGATGTCAAAAGACCTGGCTATGTATACAGTACTATATACCCATCAGTGCAAATCAAGATATAAAAGACATTACATTCACTAATCAACACCAAAACAAACATGCACTGAAAAGTTGAAGGGAGGTGTTCATAAAAATGGTGGCTTTTTGACCTGGTATGCCAAAACATAGTTATGTGTGATCAGTAACCCTGCAGGCTACATTTAAACTGATGATTCAGATGTGAATGTCTTCATATTTATTTAGATCATAGATATTTAGGTGTCTGGTTAAGTATCTCTCACACGCACAAGAAAGATAAACAATAAATGCTATTTCACGGACTCCTGCCTCCAGTCTTTATCAAGTAAGTAATTTCTTTAGCCAAACACACAACACAGACTTTATATAGTTATGATTAATAATGATTAATTATGATTAATAAAACAATAATTGTCACACATAAGGAAATTAAACACTGAACGGGCAAATGACAATACTTGCCTGTGGCGAAGACAACATTCTTTGACACCAGTCTATATTCCACGATGGAGAACTGAGGAAGCTCAATCCTCTCCACGCCTGTCACTGCGTTATCTCCACCTCTCCAGTAGAACTCTATGTCATCGGTTGTGTAGCCATCTGCAGGCAAAGCAGGAGAGTAAGTCAGAAAAAACAGCAGACTCAAATGTAGCTTCAAACACAGTACATGCTGTTTGTCATCTGAGACAATGAAAAGAATCAGAACAGCTGGAGTGGTGTACGGTATTTTGTTCTGTATGCCTTTGGGAAGGTCTCCCGAAGAGCTGTACCATTACAGTTTGCACAGGAATTTGAGGCAAAATACTCTGTTTTCTTTTTTTTTGGTTTTTTTGGTATCACTCTCATAAAATTCACATGAGGATTAATGGTCCCAATGAGACAGAAAATGCTACCCAATAATCTGCAAAATTGCAGATTAGCATGATTTAAGACATCATACACATTTAGCACTGAAACCAAGTATATATTTACACTGATAAGCACCAGAAGAAGGTGGATTAGTCAACAAATACTGACAAACATAATTGGAGCAGATCTTTTCCAATCACGCTAAAGAGTGTGCGTTGAACATTTCCATTAGCTTCTGTAGTGGAGGACTACAGTTGAATATAGAATATATACTAGTATTTTCTGTATAAGGCCCACAATCTCCAGCCAGTAGCAGAAATGGAGCAGGAACTCTTGAAATGCAAATATACATCTAAATGTTACAATCCTAGGACATGACTAGGTGGAAGAGATAATCTGGTTCTGTTTGGAACACAATTGCAATTCATAAACGGGGCCAATCTGAAAGCCTGAGGGGGTCCTGTGGCAAGACCATCCATGCATAATGAATCATATTGAAAGAAAATGATATCACAGTGTTTGCTCTCTCAAAAATGAATCTGATTAAAATATGAACATTCATTCTCTTGTGTTGAAGCATTCAGTTACTGCCTCTGCCAAGTCAGGCTGGAGCAATAAATTCATTCTGTCCTAAACCAATTTTTCTAGGATGTATCCATCCATCTAGAGATGGATGAGCCCATGTATTTTTAAGAAAAGTCAAATAAACAAACAAAAAATCCAAAGGGTGATAATTACATGATTCACATAGTGTTTATAGACACCAGTGTAAATATTACACAGTTCTATAAAAGGAAAACTGGCCTGCATCTGAAATAGGTTTTACATGCATTTTCTTATGTACGTACAGCTTTCTATTTCCAGAGTACAGTTTTGTTCATCTAATGGGTATCTTCTCAAGTCCATCATACAAGCTGCAGTCGTTGTGATTCTGAAATACAAACAAATAGAATTACTGTATGGCCAGTAATCCAGGTTTTGTTGTTGTTGTTGTTGTTGTTTATTTTTCAAAGTGAGCGCTCTCTGAAGAATAGCTCACAATAATTGAAAATTGAGTTTTACAGGGAGCAGCAGCTTAATAAAACAGCAGTTACACTGACTGCAATGGAACAACTCACTGTGACTTACCCTTATGCAACCAGTCCCTTTGGGGTTCAATGGACCTATCTGCTTATGCAAATATTATACAAACATTTGCTGAGATTAAAAAATATGACTTTATATCAGAAAATGTGAAGCGAAAAAAGTCTGCTACAAATGTCAAAATGATTACAGCTGTGTGAATAACTCATTCCTTGGTTTTGTGGCAGCTCTAGAAAAAACCTGAAATGTTGAAACAATGTCCTAAGTTCAGCAAAACGCTTAATTTCAAAGTCAAGTATATTTCTCTAGTTGTCAAAAGTAAATGAAAGAGGATTTTGTAATGAAGCGCCATATTGAATTTTAAATTTTCTCCCCAAATAACAATATATTTTTGCTTCTTTATTTCCAATGCAGGCAATTTAGCACTCCAAGGATTAATTTGCAAAACGTTTCACTATTGATGAATCTGCATTTTTCTTCAAGCTCTTGCATATCAGGAGTGTCAACAATACACATGTATAACCAAAACAATTGCATTAACAGCTTCACTCAGCATTGGCACTTTATTTTTAAATTAGTGGATTTATATATTTGTACTAGCTTTTAGACAGATATAACCATATGCTCATGATTAATCTTCAGTGTATTTCAGTGTTTTGCTGAATCACAGCCTTCATCAAGAGTATGCACATTATTATGCATCATTTTCTTTATAATAGCTTCATATAAATTTCACATTTAAATTATCTTCTGGGCCTGACTAGGTCCATTCCTTACTGATCTTTCCCTGATATAAAGAAGAGATGGACCTTGTACACAGTTAGTTCCTAAATAAATAATACTCTGGTGATAATTTATAATAATAATACAAGAGGGGAAATGTCTTAAATGTACCTCTAAAAGCTGGAACCCTCAATGTTAAGGTTTTGTCCATGTGTTTTCTCCATTTTGAAGCTTTCCCTTTAATCCCTTAACCTTCTGAAATTACAGTCTTCTAATCTGGTAAACTACTTTAAAATTCAGGGGCAACATTTCAAGAGGAGAAAAGTAGTTAGGTGCCTTTCTTCAACTCTTTCATACTAAAAAAAAAAAACCCTGTTGTTATTATGAATGCCCTATCCAATCTCCCAGAAAAGGAACAAAATAATGCTTACCCTTAGCATATAGGGCATTTCAGATGGATAACCACATAATATCCAAAGGAAGGGATTAAGACCATTACAACTATCTCAGGACAAGAGAGGCCACCCTTCTCTGACTGAGAAGGTGCTTTTGCAAGAAAGTATTATAATTTCTTTGCACAGGGAGACAGTTGTATGAGCACAAAGGCAATGGATGAGCTAGGAGAGGAAAAAGCTCAAGGATCTGTTGCTCAGCATATCTTCTCACTTGTCTTCCTACCACTAGCCAGCGAGAAAGGCACACAGCTGACCATTTGTCCTTGCCAGCCTTATCTATGGCATGATCATGAGCACAGGCCTTATGAGGAGTGGCTAAGGGAACTGGATTGTTTAGTCTGGAGAAGAGGAGGCTGAGGGGAGACCTTATTGTGCTCTACAACTACCTAAAAGGAGGTTGTAGTGAGGTGGGTGTTGGTCTCTTCTCCCAAGTAGTTAGCGATAGGACGAGAGGAAATGGGCTCAAGCTGTGCCAGGGGAGGTTTAGGTTGGATATTAGGAAAAATTTCTTCACGGAAAGGGTAGTCAAGCATTGGAACAGGCTGCCCAGAGAGGTGGTGGAGTCACCATCCCTGCAAGCGTTCAAAAAACGGGTAGACGTAGCACATGGGGACATGGTTTAGCCTAGTCTACCCTTGATTGGTTTAGTATGGACTTGGTAGTGTAGGTTAATGGTTGGACTGGATGATCTTAAAGGTCTTTTCCAACCTAAATGATTCTATGATTCTATGTCTCTGCCACTGCTATTCACTCTGGGTGTCCTCTGAGTACCCTTATGTTAGTCCCACAGGCTTTCAGGTACCAAGTATTGTATCACAGGAGGATACTTAGGTCAACCTTCCTCCAGCTGCCTGCTGGGAGATGCTCTGGTTCCTCTGTTAACACATGTCCCAGTGGGCAGGAATAGTTTACAAACAGCAGTTCCTCAGCTGCTCGGCAGTTTATGGGGATGTCTTCTCTGCAGTCAACATTTGCATGTGCCCGTCTGGACCCTCAAGCAAGGTGCTAGACAAAGAGCTATTAATTACGGAGATGAATGTCTCCTCAGTATGACGACTACTAGCAGCTCTAGCTAAGCATATAAAACCAAGACTAGCTTATGGTCTTAAAGGAGGAAACTTAGTCTTAAATCTGTGATCATTGATGAACATTTTAAATGACAAGGTCTTAGCAGTGACCAGCTTTACAAAGCCATACTGATTGTGCAATCAAATGATTTTGCTTCTGAGTCAATTGGTAACTGTAATCAAAGTAAAACAAGCAGGCACACTTGGGCATTGCTGCTATGAGGTTTCTATCCCATGCTTCCATATATTCACCTACACTAACCTAGGGCTCATTTAAAATCCTGCAGCAAAATCCACATGAGCTAAATTGATACAAGAGGGAGTGTGGTCCCAGGTTCTTAACTATTATGTAGTATAACTAGCTTTAAATACCAGCCATACAGAAAACATGCACTTACAAATTATTAATGTGACAGAATTATTAAAAATTATGCAGCTGGCAAACTTGCATTCAACTTATTAATTGCCTTATGACTTTTTAAGGAATGTATTTGTATTTTGGCCTGTTCACACACCATAGTGGTTCTGTGTCACAAGTTCCAGTATGAGAAACTGCACATTCTTGCTCAAGTAACTTTTTACACTACGGCAAAATGCATGTTCTTAATTTCATATATATCTATTAAAAAAGAAGATACAGCTAGATATAGATAGAAACAGATTTACCCCATTTACTCTAAGTAAGTTGAGCGCTCAGAAGTCCCTCCTGAATGAACATTCAAGCAATCAAATTTAACTTGCATAAATGCTCACCAAAAGCAAATGTTAATTGCTCAGGCTTGTCCATGCTCCCAACAAGAGCAGGTTTATTTTTTATGGGATGGGATGCTGTGTGACACAGCAGGACAACAAGGTTTCAAGTACTCATCATCACAGCAGTGACAGAGAAACAATTACGAGCCAGACAAAGATAAAGCAGTACACAGATACACATACATTTTGGGTGAAAGCAATACACAAAGGAAATATTTTTAATTGTTTAAAATTCCCTACTCCAGTTATCTGTCCTCTGGATATAGTTTCTCTTATCCTTCTCTGCTACTTTATTATCAGGCTGATTGCCTTTGATTATATTGCTATATTGTATAGGAACCCCACCTGTGATGTATGGGGAGGTGTTGCACAAACTACTGACAGAAGGATATTTTCTGTCCCCCCAGAAATTTACAATATAAATCAGTCTAAGCAATATAAATACTTCTTATGTGACTAGGTCACAGTCCTGATGGCTAATTTGATCCTCTTTTCATGTTGATACAGAAATACATTCATCCAAAAAACAACAGAAATAAGTGCGGTTGCCTTGTCTCACAGATCACAACTACCATTTTCACCTCGCAAACATCTGTCATGTTTTATATACAGGTGACAACTACGTGAGTCCTTTCAGATAAAATACATATATTCCTCCATTCTATTTATTTATAACATTTAGCATTGTACTACCTGAGAACAAGAGGTCTGTATTTTCCTGGAGAACGTGGCAGCTCATGGCTTGGACCGGTGTACTCTTCGCTCCATAAAAAACTGGCTGGATGGCCGGGCCCAAAGAGTTGTGGTCAATGGAGTTAAGTCCAGTTGGTAGCCGGTCACAAGTGGGAATCGCCAGGGCTCAGTATTGGGGCCAGTTCTGTTTAACATCTTTATTAATGATCTGGACAAGGGCATTGAGTGCACCCTCAGTAAGTTTGCAGATGACACCAAGTGGGGCGGGAGTGTTGATCTGCTTGAGGGTAGAAAGGATCTACAGAGAGATCTAGAACAGCTGGATTGATGGGCTGAGGCCAATTGTATGAGGTTCAACA